CTCTTCTAATCCATCCAAGATCCCCCACCTCTTTACTCATAACATTCTCTTTCTTTCTCTCTCTCTACACACACACACATGCGCACACGCACACACACACAGAAAGAAAAACAAAAGCAAGAACAAAACAAAACCCCCAAAACACCACAAAACAAAAATCAAAATAAACAAGCAAAAGACCAAAAAGACAAATTTTATATATATATGAGACAAAATCTACAAAAATATCATTGAGCTTATTTTGTTTTGGAAAACTACTCTTGGACATGAGGCCTGCTCTAAGGTGTAATTAATATAACCAGTGAGACTCCACTGGAGAAAACAGATTTTTAATTTGTCAATAGGTATCAATTATAAATTGCTTCTTAAATAGGGATTGGAGCTTAGGTCTACTTCCTCCTTTCAGCAATGGGACCCTGCTTGGCTTAAATATGTACAGGCCTTGTTCATGTTTCCATGGCCTCTGTGAGTTCATGTGTGAGTAAGTCTTGTAGTGTCACAAAGAGAGTTTCCTTGTATTTATCCATCACCGCTGGTCTTAAAATCCTACTTCCTCTTTCTTTCACTTAGTTCCTTGAACCTTGAGGGGAAGACTTTGATGAAGATAATTCCATTTAGGACTGGTACTTCAAAGTCTCTCATTCTCTGCATGTTGTCCAGTTGCATGTCTCAGTGTCAGTTCCCGTCTACTTCAAGAAACAGCTCTGATGAGGGTTGAATGAATCACTGACGTGCAGGTATAGCAATATGTCATTAGGTGTCATTTTATTGCTATGTTCCTTTAGCAGAACTGGGTTTTCCCCTAAGATCACGACCTATGTAGTCACTGGTTCTCAGCCATTTTAGTAGTGTCAGGTAAGGGTTCTGTTTCATAGAATGCTCCTTAAATCCAATTAGAAAGTGATTGTTTACTCCCATATCATTTGTGCCACTATTCCACCAGGATCTCTTGCAAGTGGTCACTGTTATAGGATGCAAGGTTTGTAGCTGGGAGACAATGATAATTTTCCTTTCTCCTCTAGTAGCCTTCCAGTATCAGGATGTATTTTGCATTATTATATAGCAACAAGCCTATGGAAGTCGGGCAGTAGAATGTGGTGGTGAGAAAGGGGGAAGTAAGCAGCGATTCAATGATTTCACTTAGAAGAGTGATCACATTATGTCTTTTCATGGAAATATAACAGTAACTAAGACAGACATTAGAGCAGCTTGGCCTGTGGGTATCCCTATGAAGGGTCTTTTATTGATTAGGCTAATTGAATGTGGGCCACACTGTTTTATAGCCTGGGCCATGAACTGTATATGAGTAGAGAAAGTTAGCTGAACACTAAGCACAGATACATTCATCTCTCTCTGCTCTTGATGGTGGGTGTGATGTGACTAGCTGTTTTAGTTCCTGCTGCCTTCATGGCCCCACAGTAAAATATTGAAACTTGAAATTGTGAACTAAAATATACCCTTTCTCTGTTGACTTACTTTGTGTCTGAGTATTTTACCACAACAATAGAAATGAAACCAAAACAGACATAGAAACATTCAGAGGTTAAAAAACAAAACAAACAAAAAAAAAAATGAAAAGGGGAACTTCAAATTCTTTGTGTGCCCTGTGTTTGACCTAATGAAAATCCCAGACTCACTCTGAGTTGCTGTGTGACAGACCCACAGTAGGAGTGCAAAGTGTTGGGAGTTGAGTTGACGTGTCCCCTGTGTGCACACAGTGAAAGAAAATCTGAAATCTGATTATGCCCACAAGTGAAAGCACTGACATTCCCTAGAGTGTCATAGTATTATCAATCAAAGAATAATTATAAATCTGCCTTCTAATATCTATGACACAGAAATTATTTGAAAAACCATAGACCAGGTTAGATGTGACAAAGGTTGACACTCTAGTAGTGGAAGGGAGGAAAGATATTCTTACTAAAAAGACATAGGCACTACTTAAAGGGATTATTTTAGAACCTAAAAGTAAAACATTTGAAATTTCAGATTCATTCTATTTGGGTTAGAGAAATGGTTCAGTGTTTAAAAGCACTGGTTGCTTTTCCAGGAGTCCTAGGTTTGATTGTCAGCACCTTTAAGGCAACCCATGACAGTTATAGCTCCAGTTCCAGGGGATGCAACATCCTTGTTGGTGCATGCAGACACTGAAAGCAAGTAGTGCACAGTGTCTATGAGTAAAATAAGACACCCATACACATAACAAAAATTAGTTTGTTCTAATCCACAATTAGGTTATTCATTATCACAATATCATAGGTCAGAGAAATGTACCGATGAACATGAAAATAAATCAATAGGATTTCTCAAATCTTTACAACAGAGAAAAATATTACAAAAATATCAGTCTGTCCACCCCAAAGGCCATATAGCCATATCATATTGAAAAAAAGAATATGCATTCAGTCCAACTTCAAAAGTCCTTGTAGTCTGTAACAGTATCAAACTTACTTAAAAGTCTAAAATTCAAAGTCTCTTCTGGGATTCATGAGATTCATGCAATCTTTTATCTGTAATGACCTTTAAAAAACTGTGTGTGTGTGTGTGTGTGCACGTGTGTGTGTGTGTGTGTGTGTGTGTGTGTGTGTGTGTGTGTGTGTGTGTGTGCGTGCCATAGCTCATATGTGGAATTCAGAGAACAACTTGCAGGAGTATTGCTTTCCTTCTAACCTGTATGTCCTTTGGATCAGTTTCATTGCAAGTGCCTTTACTGGTTGAATCATCTTACCAGACCAAGAAATATATTTGTTGCTGATGCTTTCTGCTGCCTAAAATCATTATTGGCACAATGATTCAAGCTTCTAATCAGCAGCACTTAGGAGATAGAGGCAGGACGATCTGGATTGATAGACTGTCCAGATCTACATTGAAACCCTGCCCCTAAAGCCTAAAGATTGGAGATGTAGCTTAGTGAGAGAGAACTTGCCTCCTTTGCAAAAGATCTTGGGTTGGATCTCCAAAACCAAACAAACAACAACCAAAAAAATCTGACAGAGAGAGCCTGGTCTCTGGTAGCACAGGATCTGGTAGCACAGGATGCCATGTCTGCAATTGTGTCTTGTATCCATTTGTGAATTTTATCACCCTTTCACCCATTTCTTAGACACTTAATTTGGAAGAGAATGTTTTCCTGCAGCCACTGGAGGCCCAGTAAGAGGTGCAATACTATTCATCTATTGCAGAGTCAGTGATATTGCATGGGTTGTGATTCATTATTTAGAGTGTCAACACACATTTAATGAGTACATATTGCACATTTCTGTGTTAGATAACCAAGATTAAAAAACAATGTGTGAGAACAAAGTCTTTGTCCCCAGTTGAAGTGGTAAATATCGTACAAATTCATGTTTAAGATCAAGTTGTGTTGTGAAGGGAAGTAAGCAGGGATCATTATAAACATATTTATCAGAAATCCAGGGTTATTTCAGGGTGCTAATAAGGGGTGGATTTGTGGCCCTTTCCACTTTCTTTGTGAAGAAATAAGAACTCTTTGAACTCTCTAAAGTCTTATTAACATTACAATCTTCTCTAAGAGCATGGCTCCTGGTAGCTCAGCTATGCTCCAGCAGATGGCCTTGCATGAGTATATGAGCAGCACAGACTGGACTCCATGTGCTAAGTAACAGCAAATAACATTTTAAATTAAATCAAAAATTTTGAAAAGAATGTAGAGGTTGGTATGGATTCAGAAGGAGTGGAGAAGGTAATGTGGGTAAAATCTGAGCAAACACACTGTATGCACATATGAACTTCTCCAAGAATTAATAAAATATTGTACAAATAAATAAATACAATACAATAAAAAGTTCCCTGTTGATAATCTAAACTCGGCAGAAGAAAAACCTTTAAGATCCTTGAAAAATACATTTGGGGGGAAAATCCTGCAGTTTCATTATTCAATTATCAATCCTTTATAACGGCTTACAAACAGAGTTTTTACAAAGATTACAACACGATGGCCAAATAATCAGCGCTGCCTAAATATGCTTGATAGCAAAGGAAATTTAGAAAAACGAGGTTTAAAAGAAACCAGCAAGAGGAGCTGCCTGTTTGAGGAACACGTCAGGGAGGCAGCTGGGCATGTTCGAGGACTGTGATCCTGAAGTTACAAAATCCTGAACTTGTGTGTCTTTCCAGACATAATATTTGCACATTTTTCCAATTTATGTATGTTTGTAAGTGTAATGATCAAACAGTTTTATTCAGTCAGTAATGGAATCCCGCTACTGACACTAGCACCAGTGAGTGTCAGGTGTTTTAAAACTGTGACTTTACAGTCAGAAGAATCAGAGTCTGAGCCTGGCAGGACTTCAGCGGCCAGGAACAGAACTCCTCAGGGCAAAGGCGTTTGGAACTTCAGCATTCTTCCTAGACTTCTGACTGTACGGGAATTCTGAGAGCCATAGAGGTCAGTTTCAGAATCAGGGAAGGTAGCAGATTTTGATCTGTGCTTTCAACTTAACTTCCAGGGCGGCCAGCCTGAGGCGAGACTGCTGAGCTCCATTTTCCAGTAACCCTTTCATTGAGCGTGCTGCAAAAGTAATCTTAAACTCTGTGCCTGCTACAGACACAAGTTCATGTTCTAGTAGGAACTCAGAGACTTGTACTCCAGCCTCTCTTAGTTGGAAAGCCCGCCCCCAATGTAACCATAGCAACAGCTGACACCGGAGCGCTTGCTAGCCGGATCCGCCCCCTCCCTGACAGATATTGTTTCCCATCCTCTGTCCACATGGGCGCACTGCCTCACTATTGGTCTGTGGCCCAGGACTGTGCCTTGTCCCCGCCAATAAACTGCCTGTGCACGTGCACTCTGGTGTCTCCCGATTGGTGGAGTGGCCCTGATCACGCACCACCATCCTGCTCAGCCCGGAGAGGGGCCGCCAATAAAATGACTCAGTGGTCATGCACAACCAATGGGAAAGGAGCAAGTCTCACAGCTGACCTATGGGCGCGCGCCGTGGGTGGACTGTGCCGTCCCCTTTCCAGCCCCAGTGGGGTGTGTTAAAGAGACAGTGCCCCGGTGCGGGTGTTTCACCCGGCTGGGCGCTGTGGCCGTGGTGGCCCTGGGCTTGCAGCCGGCGCCCGTGACAGCAGCGTCGCGGAGCCGGCTACCCCAACCCGGGGCCGCTGCCGACCTCACTGACAGAGCCGCATTGCCTGGCGGGATGGGCGGCGATGCGGGAGCCGATGGTCCCCGGGGCCGCATCAAGAGCCTGGGGCTAGTGTTCGAAGATGAGAGCAAGGGTTGCTACTCCAGCGGCGAGACAGTGGCTGGGCACGTGCTGCTGGAGGCTGCAGAGCCAGTAGCCCTGCGTGGGTTGCGTCTAGAGGCCCAGGGCCGTGCCACCTCTGCCTGGGGCCCGAGCACTGGCGCCCGGGTCTGCATCGGTGGCACTGCTCCAGCAGCTTCCTCGGAGGTGGAATACTTGAACCTGAGCTTGAGCCTACTGGAGGCCACAGCTGGTGAGCATGAAGATCTCCGACGAGGGGGAGGGAGGAGGCAAGCCTCTGGGTGGTGAGGGAAGCTTCTGGAAGGGGAACCATCTGTACTGTCATGGGTGAAGGGCAGGAAGCCAAGCCTGTGCCCCTAGCCTGGCTACTAGAAAGTCCAGACCCTTGTTGGGTGGTGTGTCTTTTTACATCTGACCTCCAGGGGTCTTCTAGTGACCTAGAAGAGAGTGAGTTGATGCTGTGGGAACCAGCAATTCATTGACTGTCTGGGTTCTAGGTTCCTTCCTGACCTGGAGCCATGGACAGTGGAACCAGAACCTGTGAGGTTTCATTATGGTGCCCCGACTTTGATGGGCCTCCACTCCTTCCTATCCCGGCCCTAGACACTCCTCTCCTCCTCTCCATTCATGATGATTTGCAGAAAACTCGATCTTGGGAAGAGAGAAGTGGTACTTGAATAGTTCAAGGGACATGTTCACTCTCTGGGGACCCAGCATCTTACTAAGAGCTGCCCCTTCCTGTACCTCCTCTTCCTTTTGCCTCTCCCCTTTTAGAAAGACCTTTGAAGACAATGCCATCTGGGGATTTCTGAATTACACCTTCCTGTTCACTCAGAGTTTTCCAGAAGTACCCATGCATATGTATGTTGGGCTAATGCTAGGGACATACAAACGGTTGCTGTTCATCATGAAAATGATAGTAACAGTGAGTCATTCTTCTCTCAGTGGAAGCTACTGTAAACCTTTATCTGTGCATCATCAGCTTGCACCTATCAAATGTGAGCTTACTATTTGCTGTATGCTATCCTCCCGAGGAGAACTTTAATATCCACAGGAGCTTCCTTTCAGATAAAGGGGTATAGCAGGTGACAGCTCTTACCCGCCTTTGAACTCCTTGTGGATTCCAGGAGTCTTTTTCTCCCAGTGATAATAGCCAACAAGGATGTTAAAGATGGCTGACTGGCGGGAAAGCCGTGGAAGAGAGAAGTAAGCAAATTTCTGTCTAGGTTTCAGACTCTGAGCCCATAACTACTGAAGAAATGGAAACAAAATTAGAAGCATTGAACCTAGGATGAGAAATGAACATTGCTTTGTTAAGATTTGGGGTTTTGGTTCACATGTAAGATATTGTGGCTTAGTTTTAAGGAAATGGAATTTCTAATTCTAGATGGTTCCAGTTCACTTAGAATACATTAGCAATGGTTATAGTTTACTTAAAGTCAATGCCCCGTAGTTGGCAGGAGGGAACATCACCCCACCTACCTACCATTTGGAAGAATGTAGCAACTTCACACATAGACTCTGAGGGTCATTAACTCCATAAACTAGCTTTATTCAATGGCCTGGGGAGAGGGGAGAATTTTTTTTTTTTATGTTGACTCCTAAGAGATGTAATGTTGGGAACTATTTTTTTTTATAATCTTCCCAGCATATTCTTACTGAACCACTTACTGTCAGCATGGCTGGACTGCTTCGTGTCTTTAAAAACAGATTGTGATGAAGACCCAGAGACCAAAGCAGAGAGTTGGCTTCAGTTCACAGATGCCCACCAGAGTGTGGCCTTATACAGATCCTTCACTGGGAAGCCTGTTACAAGGCTTATGAAAAAGTTTCATTAAGAGGTCTGGCTAGAAGCCCTCTAGTGAGTGAATCAGCTCCCCACGGCACTGTAGTCCTCGGAGGACAAGGTGGGGGGACTGAACCATAAAACAAGCAGCAATGGCCACATCGTCCGTCCTGTGAATGTTTTTAACTAAACATAAAGATCAAAGACAGAAGGCAACACATTTCTCCAGATATCACAGTTTATCCATTTCCTCAAGTTGCTTTTCTCATGTGAAGTTCTGTAATTCCTGTACTGACTTGTTCCTAGGGGCCCTTCATCTGTATCACCTATCACTTTTTAATATGCTGGGCAGCTCTGTTTTCTACATGCCTTTCCTGCTTCCTCTTGCTGTCCCCTTCACTTAAACCCTACCCACTCATCTGTACTGTGACCCTCAGACTCCAGGCCCAGTGTTATTCATGTAAGAAGTCGCTGGGTTTTAGCTCTCTAGTCTTTACTTGAGTACACATTTCTAATCTCCTTTCCCCCAGGTGGTCTTCAGAGGACTGAAGAAACTGGTCCTTCTGTCACCTGAGCCTGATTCCAGGAAATGTTGGATTCATATGAAGTCCACTTTCCTAAACGTGCATGTACTTATGTAACCCATCACATGTAATGTGTACACGTACCATATGTAGCCTCGTGATCACAAATCAGACCCCATCTCAGCTCTGTTTCCCTTAGCCCCTTAGAGAAGATGAGACGCAGTATCCCTTGATTCCAGTCATATAGCTCTTCTGGTACCCTCCCGAGGCTTGCATGGACACGCCTGCACATTGGGAGCCTTTGGGACTCACACTGAATCACACTACTTAATCTGACCCTGTGTCTTGACTAGTCATTGTTCCCTTTGCCTTCAGGTACTTACCTATGATGTCTTTCTATGCAAAGATGTTTCTCCTTAATGTAGTACATACTGAAAACTAGAGACAGGTTTAGGAGACTCATTGGGTCAATAATATATTCTTATTTTCTAAAAGTGCAGGATTGAAATATTGAGTTGTTGGTAATTAAGTAAACCAAAAGAAACCCATCTTATTAATGGTTTTGACCATATGAAGCAGGAATATCAAGTCAGGTAACAAAACAAATTCCACACCAAGTTGTCTGCCATCTTTTCTCATCTTATTTTCTCCACCCACAATGTGGCCTTAAGTATGACTTCAGAGGGAAAGTCTGTCACAGGCCATAGGGAGCCATTGATCAGTGGATGCCATGGATCCACTTTGGATCCATATTAAACGGGCCAACTGTGGACTTTCATCATAGGTTCTGGGGGGGGTGCCTCTAGTCTTACACCATCCATCCCTGTACTTTGGCCTTTGCTCAGTAACAAGCCTGTGCATGGAGTTGAATGATGCTAACAATAACAGGAGAAGGGGCCATGCCATGCTTGGAAAATCCTGCTTTCACTACAGAGAAACCCTGTCAATCTAGGTAGAACTAAAGAGAAAAGAGCTGACTCTTGATGCTTTGGCAGTCTTCTGTATCACTATTACTAATGTTCTTCTCAAGTTTTCTTTCTCAGTCTAAAGGATACATAGTATAGTTATTGTAGTATAGCCAAAGAAATGTAACTTGTCAGTTAGTTTTAGGACCAGTTTAATATTGTCTCATGTTAGTATAATTAGAGTAACATCGTGTGTGTGTGTGTGTGTGTGTGTGTGTGTGTGTGTGTGTGTGTTTGTGTGTGTAGGCAGATAGACAGACAGATAGATGACTGTGCACTGTATGTGTGTTTATGCACATATACTGTATATGTAAATTGGAATTCTTGGCCCTAAGTAGTAACACTTTATGGAATTGTATAATTGATTGTTTTGTGAATAGAAGGTAGGGGTGTGTGTGTTTTTTAAAGAACTTGTGGAGTTCCCTGCCTATAAAACCACACACACGCACACATGACTTAGATTATGAAAACTCTTGATTTAATGTTGACCTTCATTAAAATAAAATATGGTCTCTTTCAGGTGAAGGCATCACTTTGCTACAACCCGGAAAACACGAATTTCCTTTTCGCTTTCGACTTCCATCTGAGTGAGTGGAGCACAAAGTTTTCTGTTTCCTTCCCTTGCCTTGTGCCCATCACTTTAGCACCCTGGTATTCCCAACACTGAAGTGCATGTGCCAATCCTGTGTAACCCTCCCTGTACTTCCCTGCTGCCTCTTGTTTTTTTTTTTTTCAACCTTAACCCACATTATCAAGCATGTTTTCTTGACTATGTCTAGCTGAAAATAAGCTCATAAACCATTATCTTTGTTTTATTTCAGACCATTAGCGACATCATTTACTGGGAAGTATGGCAGTATTCAGTACTGTGTGAGGGCTGTTTTGGAACGACCCCAAGTCCCAGATCAGAGTGTAAGGAGAGAGCTCCAGGTTGTCAGTCACGTGGATGTCAACACACCACCCTTATTGGTAAGCGCTTCCTTGCTCTGTCCCTCCCTCCTTTCAGCAGTGATGTCTGTATTTTGTCAGAGTAGTGGTGATAGGCACTGTCCCTGTCTACTGGTTCAGAAGACACAATGTAGCTCATAGGCGTTCACTATAAAGATATGATTCTAGGGTGGGCAAATTACAAATTGTGTGTGTTAATACTATTGATTATGTCCCTGCTGTTCAGGGCTGCTTTTGCCAAAAAGTTACACAGGCTTGAAATGCATTAATAAGCCTTAATAACAATAATGTACAGAAGAGAGGGGTTACTTTGACCAGCACGGCCACATTCGCAGGACTGTGGTATTCTAAACTCTCCAGTAATAGCAGGTTGAGGAGCAGTAATTACGAAAGAGTATTAATCACACTCAGCCTGTTATTGAAGCCCAGGCCATTATGCTATGTATCCTTCCATTTTGCATGTCATTTTCTAGCATTAAGTAAGTGTGTGCAGCTGCCACCATGAGCCTTTCACTTATCATTTCCTTATGACAGATTTGGCCACATGAAGGCATTGAACTTCTAATAATTATCAGAAATACTGTAGGCTGGTAAGAAAGGGGATCAGACTATAAGGAACAACAGAATAGGCGAGATGGGGACTAATGAGCTACATTTTTTTATCTGCACCCATATTATCAAAATAGTATAAAATTATACCTTCGACTTTCATGAAAGCTGATAGGACCAAATGGATCTTCATTTAAATATGAATAAATGGTATTATTTTTACTTCATAGATAATTTAAACTTCCCGTCTTGACACTGACGTGGCAAAGAAGTGGTTTTAGTGTTGGATTTTTTTCCTTAACTAATATTTTTAAAGACAAGGGAAAGGGCAGCCGCTAAAAGTTTTTTTAGTTCTTACTTTCACAAGAAGTAGAATAAATGTTTCCCCTTGAGATAACATGACAGACACACCATGCTGCATGGCTTAGCCAGAACCACACTACCCTGGCACAGGCCCACTTGAACAACTCCTGAAGTTCTCTTGGGAAAAGTACTGGTGTTAGTAACTTATATGCTTTTAAAACTTTCATAGAAGTTTATAACTATTTCTAAAATTGCCATGTTTTTGTGGGAAATTACTTACTGAAATAGGTTTGTTTTTGTCAAAAACAGACCCTTGACCCTTTCCAAAATAGATGAAAAAAGATGACCAGCAACAGTACTTTACAGAAAGCTTTTGTATTTACAGCTTGTAAACAAAGCATTTAACCCTCAGCTGAGTGTTTTTCTTACTTTGAAGAAGAGAATCATAGTAGTAGGGTATAGTGTGTCTCATCACATTATGAAATATGCTAACACATGGTATGTGGATGCATCATTAACCTAGTCCAGGAACACTTGAAAGTTCTGTCTGATATGTATTCTGAAGTTTAAACAAACAAACAAAAAAAAAGGCTGTTTTCTTATCCCGGGTGCTATATGCCAAGCAGTGCTAAGCAGTGTAACATTGTTGATTTTTATATGATTCCTTCTTTCTCCCGATCTTTGCATTGTCTTAAAACACAATTCTGTCATGCTAGTAAGATGGCTCAGTGGGTAAGAGTGTTGCTGTGAAGTCAAGGAACAATGAGTTCCGATTCCCAGCACCCGTGCAGAAGCTGGAAGTGGCCTCACATGACTATAACCCCCAAGTTGGGGATAGACGCAGGTGAATCCCAGGGGCTCACTGGCAGGCTAGTCAACCTAGATTAAAAGGCAAGCTTATGATTCACTGGGAGACCATGTCTCAAACAAAAAAGAAAATGGAGAGAGATAGTCAATGGCTCTGGACATTTTCCCTTGCCTTCTGCATGCCCTGGCGTCAGGGTGCACCCCCCCTACACACACACACACTTGTGCATATGCTTCACCATAGCTCTGTAACATTTAAAATATGAATATGACCCTTGATTACCTTTCTAAAGGATGTTATGTCACTTCCTAGAAACACAATAACTTCAGGATGAAATGGAATGATGTCACACTAGTTTGAGTCTGAGAATTCACCCTACTTTTCCTGAGAGAGTTGCAGTACTTTGTGTCTCAGGAGAATAAGAAAGATTGATGCTTCTTTATTATTGTTCTCTAAAGGACTATAAGTTCTCTTGAGTGGTTTAACTAAAGTCCTTTTTGCAACTTTCAAGACTCCTATGCTGAAAACGCAGGAGAAAATGGTTGGCTGCTGGCTCTTTACATCTGGTCCTGTGTCACTGAGTGTCAAAATTGAAAGAAAGGGCTACTGCAATGGTAAGCTTGAAAAAGTCCAAGTGAAAGACTCTTTAATTTTACTAGATGATTTCATTGATGTAAAGCAGTGAGTTTTATACTCTATACAATACTTTATATTTTAAAATGTAATTAACCATTTACATATTTTTAAGGGCATGTATAATAAGTTTTAATAAAACTCCCTTTTTTTCCCCGACACCAATCTTGTTGCTTTAGTAACAAAATAAAACTCAGGAGAGTGGGGATATGCTGGAATCATATTTTAATGTTGCACAAGCTACAGAGCTTTTGGAGGATTATGGGATAGGTGTGTAATGTTGTGAACTAACTTTCCTGCCCCATCATTGTTTGTGTCTTAATCTTAGGAATCTGGAGTTGCCAAGGCTCTGCTCATTGTTGGGCAGGTTCTCTTTCCTTGGGCTCTAGTGGGGTTGTTAGTAAGATTTATTCTAAGCCTCCTACTGAATCATTTCTTAATTATCTTATTATCAATAAATTATCTTAATTTATGCATATCACTTATTTACATATCTTGAGGCTTGTTGCTGTCGTCTTTTTACATTCAAAAAGTGAATAGTGCCATTGGTACAAAATGTTGCCTTCTGCACCATGGGTCCATTCCTCTCCCTACCACTTCTCAAAGGATCATCTGGCCAGGGCTTCAGCTGTGTTAGGTTGCTATAGTGTTCATTGATGTCTTGAGAATGTTCTGAAATGTCTCCGGATCCATCGTATTTCCCTTCTCTTTTCAGGAGAAGCTATTCCCATCTATGCGGAAATAGAGAATTGTTCATCTCGCCTAGTTGTCCCTAAGGCAGCCATATTCCAAACCCAGACATATTTGGCTAGTGGAAAGACGAAGACAGTCCGGCACATGGTTGCCAACGTTCGAGGAAACCACATTGGTTCTGGAAGTACAGACACATGGAATGGAAAAATGCTAAAAATCCCACCTGTGACTCCATCTATCCTGGATTGCTGCATTATCAGAGTGGACTATTCCTTAGCTGTAAGCAAAGCTTATTGAATAATTACAAACACATAAAACAGAGCAATAAGCTCTAGTTATTGCATTAATACTTGGGAAAATATTAACATTACTACCATTTCTGGGTATATGAAGATGGACCTTCACTGTTAATAAAAATCTATCTCTACCTGGGGGAATTTAACGAAATAAACTTAAAGGAATTGAGGTGAAGGGAGGAATGTTTGTTACACTGAAGCATAGGTTCATTTTTCCAGAATTGTCACAAGTTCTGTCACCTTACAGCGAAACGCACAAAGGCCACAGTTCCCTGTCACAAGGTTGTCCTGTAGTTAGTATTTGTTCATTTTGTGTGTTCTTCATTTTGTCTAGTCAGGGCAGTTTGCATTTGTCTTGATGGCCTGTGGGAAACAAAGGCACTTGTTTCTATGAAAAGGAAGTTGAATCAGCTTAGTTCCCATGAAGTTTACCCCAACTCTGTGCTGTTCTCTCCCTCACACATGGTTTTCTTTTGTGCATATTAGGTATACATTCACATTCCTGGTGCTAAAAAGCTGATGCTGGAGCTGCCTTTAGTTATTGGTACAATTCCATACAGTGGCTTTGGCCGCAGAAACAGCAGTGTTGCAAGCCAGTTCAGTATGGACATGAGCTGGTTGGCACTGGCCCTGCCGGAGCAGCCTGAAGGTAAAGTCTTATGCAGTGATGTTTTAGATACGGGCTAGCTGAAAAGAGAACATGACAGGAGCAGGTGCCCCATGTCAGCTCTCCCCGCCGCATCCATGTGTACATATTCCTTTGGCAGTGACCAAATGCCTGGCAAGCAGACACCAAAGAGAAGACTTAGATTTTGAGGGTGCGGAATAGATGACGGTGAGAAATGTTTTAGGTTTAGCTGTGGCTGCAGGAGTGGGAGACAGCTGGCCGCAAGCCAGTCGGGAAGCAGAGAGAGATGAGTGCTGGTTCCCAGTGAACCCCACCTGTCTTAACTGAGTCTGAGGCCCTGGCCCATGGGACAAAGCTGCTCATGTCAAAGTGGTTCTTCCTTTTCCAGTCCAGTCTCCGGAAACTCCCTCATAGACATGGCCAGTTTGACGGTGAAGATGAACCATCATCACTACTCTGTTGTTTTATACTATTAGAATTAAATAAAATCCCTGGAAGAGGAACCTTGAACATTTTACTCTAGCCATGACATGAAGCCAATGACAAACCCAGGAATAAAGTGTACAATCTCCTGAGGCTAATTTAGAATACTAAGATGGTGAGACACGGTTCCAATAGAAATATAGACCGTTACATATTTTCTGTAGCTACATGGAAGAGATGTTGGTTTGCCTAGACTATGACATGTAGATCACAAAGAATGTCATTGAAAATAAAATGTAATTAGTTTTAAGTATCTGTGTGTTATGGGAACCAAACCTTTTCTCATGATAGCCACAGAATCTTCAGTTTGGCTCATCCTCTTGCTTTTGTTGGACTTCAGATGATACAAATTAATTTTGGCATCTTTTGCCCGGAATTCTGACCTCAAACTCCATTTCTCTCTCAGCACCACCCAATTATGCAGATGTGGTATCCGAAGAAGAATTCTCCCGACACACCCCTCCATACCCTCAGCCCCCTGACTGTGAGGGAGAAGCCTGCTATTCTATGTTTGCCTGCATACAAGAGTTCCGGTTCCAGCCTCCACCCCTTTATTCGGAGGTAAAGAATATTAGCTTCATTACCCTGTCTGCAGACAACCACTTGCTCCCCTCCATTCATCAAAGTGCTGTTGCCAACTCATGATTGGTTGCATGTATGCATAAACTTGTTCTTATGGCCTTGATAGATTATCACAGCCACTTAGCACATTTTCTGGTATTTAGCATATGCGGTATCCTGGGTTGCCTTGAAGGTGTTTTATTTGGCCATAGAAGATGAGAACTCAGCAGCCAGTGGAGGACATAATAACAGATGCTAAGCAACTTAAGCTTACAGCTATCCTGTAATTAGAAGCCAGGTAAGGAGAACCAAGGGGCTTCAGCGATTACCTCACTCTTTTGTCTTGTAGGTTGATCCACATCCTGGTAATGCTGAAGAGACCCAGCCCGTTTCCTTCATTCTCTGAAGAGATTCCAGAATTCACTGTGTTGCTGCCAACTTAGACAATTGGTTCTTTCGCCAGCATTGTTGGAGGAGAAAGTTACCTAAGAACATTGATGCACTCCAAGTGCGAAGACAGAAACAAAGGGATAGGAGAACTCTTCCGTGGACCAGTGGGATGGCTGCACAAGTTGATAGGGCGGGGTCAGTTGTCCACTTTAAAAGTGGATGGAAATGTGAACTGAAAAACCGGAAGTCCTGGTGATGGGAGAGGAGGTGAAGGAATGCCTGAACTGTTGGAGAAAGGAGTCCTAGGGAGTTGGAAGGTTACTGGAGTGCACTCTGACCAGAGTTCACATGGTTCTGATCATATGGACTTGGTAGAAAGACCTGATTTAGGGAAACTAGGCAGCTTTGGAGGGAGTATGAATGAGGAAGTGGTCTCCTTTGATGGAATTGAGGTCCCCAGGTCTCGGGGTCTTCATGAATTCTTATCCCGTTACCACAGCAAGGTTCAAGTTCCTTGCAAGTCTCCTTTCTGGAGCCCATGGTCATGTGAGATCGTGAGAGAAGTGACAGTGTTTCCACTCTTTCTTTCCTGAGGAGGAGGTTGAAATGTGTGTTGAAGATTGGCTGTATTGCATCAGGAAGCCTGGAAGGGGTTCTTGAAAGGCTTGCCACATCAAAAGGAAAGAGGCGCTGTCACATGACGTGTTCTGGGAAAGGCTGTACGTCCTACCACTTTAAGAACTTGCGCGAGATGTATGTTGGATATTCCTCATCCCTTATTTACCTAGGGATTACTGGAAAAAGACAGGGCACAACATCTTTAAGATACCTGACACCTGCACAAAACAGAGTGTTTTTCTTATCCTACCTCTGGGGCTTTGTCAGGCCTGCTCTCAGAACTCCAGGCCTGACTGACCTTTGGGGTTTCTGCTGTATGCAGGCTCCTTTCAACCTGTCACTTGATCTGAAACTAGACCAAGGGGAAATTCCATGAACTTAGCATTAAATAGAAATAAATTACAAACACCTAAGATCTTAAAAGAACTCCCAACCCAAAAGAGAACAGGAACGTGCCTGAACTCTTCCTGTGATGAGGCTTCAGTGGATGGATGTTGGTTGCCAAACTGTGCATTCTTATTACAGTCCTTAGTAATTCCATTTAAACTGTGATTTTTTTTTTATTGTTTTGGTGCAATATTTTGTTGTCATTGAGCCTCAGGATAATGCAGACCTACAGGGCTGTGTTGCTGCTGGCAGGGTCAGACATGTCCTTACCAGCCTCCTCCTTTCCTGTTCATGGCCCCATGCTCAATTGTTTTGCCTCCAATCTGTCGGGCCCAGGAGCTGAGAACATTGCTGGCACCAAGTGGTAGAGAAGTTCTCACAGTGGAGATCTGGACCAGCCAGATCCTAAGGATTTGGTCTAGAAATCCTGGTGCTCTCCAGGCAGAATGTTGTCCTGCATCCAACAGAATGATGGATTTTATCTCCAGTCACCAAGTTCACTTAAAGATATATATCTAGGGTTAAATTTTATATTCAAAAGTCGGTGGGCCATTTGTTCAGGGATTTTTGTACCAATGTTAGGTAAATGTCTGCTTGTCCCCTCTGAGCATACCTCTCTTCTGTGGTCATGGTTATTGTCAAACACATGTATTTCATTGTAAGCCACTGTCTAAAATGCCAAATGGTTTTGCCAGTAATTGCGGTGTGGGGATTACCACAAGCCTTGTTTTTTATGTTAGTTTTTAGAGATTTCTTTTGTCTTTTTGTTGTGTATCTGTGAAGAGTTCTGGGTGTTCAAGTACTATCTAAAGCGCTTTTGGGTGGGTTTTGTTATTGTAGAAAAATGATGAGCTGCCTTTTGGCTTCCAGGCTGTAGTTTACATGCTTTGTCAAGACGTGGTCCATCTCCATGAAACCAAAACAAAGGGAAAGAAAGTGACAGTGTGGACAGAGAGAAATGGAACAGGTTGGCTCCTTGTAGAAAAGCCATTGCAGTCAGTTTGCTTAGAGAAATCATTAAGTCCCCTGGGGGGTGGGGGAGAAAAAAAACAAAGCAAAGCTAACAGTGGCATTCAAGAGAATAGCTCAGACACAACTCTATATGGGTCTGTCTCACGCGAAGCTTATAGATCGAGATAACGTGAATGTAGAAAACTATGTCAGAAACCCTGCGAATGAAGATCAGACTTTAGCTGCTAATACTTGCCTGTTTAGTCTCCTCTTGCTCTCATTTAGTTTTGGAAAAATAAAAAGTGCCCTTAGGATTTTCTTTTTGATGCCCAAAGTTTGAGATTAAAGGTGTGCATCTTTTGGTACACATAGATCTTTCCTTCCAGGGGCAGAATTTTACTTTCTGTGTTTTTGTTTTGCACAATGAGAAACTCAGTAGGCAAGGGTTATGTTTTTGATAAGTTCGCTAGCTTTTTAAAATTTTTATTAAAAATGTAATAATTTAATCAAGAGGAAAATAAAAATTGTATTTTGTACTCTTGTTTGAACCCCATGGGTTCCTTTTGTTAATAAAATGGTTATACTAAAGATCTGGGTAGCTAGTTTTATTCCTGTGTTTACTTCCATGAGTAAGTCATTGTAGACTTTGGGAAAATCAATACTCACAGAAAGAATCCTGTTCTTAAGGTCATTTGTTTCTGCAAGAGATCAAGAGTACGGCCCAACCTGGAGGCTTCTGGGACTGCGTACAAGAGGCAGATTTCCAAAGGAACTCAGATACTAGCAATCCAAGAAGAAAAGTAATAGACTAAGGAAGTGTAAACTACATGGGTCAAAGAAAGAATATGTCTTCCTTATTCCAAATGACAGCAGGTACAATTCTCAATGTTTGCTTGGCCCAAATCTCCTCAGTAAGTTGGCAGGTCTGTGGACTGTCATAGACAACATTGACCTAGCAAACATCTCCTTTGATGTTAATACATGTGAATATAATCATTACATTACCAAGAAAATGTAATTCATTTCAGGAAACCTGCTTTAGTCTGAAAACGTTAACCTTTGCTAAGCAGTAGTAAGCAGCCTGGTTTGTTCGTATTCACTTGTTTTTAGCCTGTAAGATGGACTTGATTAGCATCTGGCAAATTAAAACACTTGTCATGTATAGTAAGGAAAAACTTCAAGATTACCACTAAGGATTTTGTAGTTTGCATTGGGAAAACGGTGGCTTGTAAAGTTTAGAACTAGGCCAGACACTATTGGCAAAGTAAGTTGCAGCTCTCCAGTTACCAAAGCATTTACTAAAACCTAGAGAGGGGAACAGTAGAGCTTAGCCCACATTGTCTGTGAGATCACTGCTTATTCTCAAGTCTCCTGAGTCTACACCTTTAAAGAAGCAATGAAGACAGCCATTGCTTCATTTGCACAATTTGAAGGTTGCAGATCTGGATGCTAGGCTTGTGGTCAATCAAGTCTTTGGTGTTTATTTCCAAAAGCCCCACCTCCAGAAAGAACCACAATCTGCCAAAATCGTAAGTATGTTTAATTAGTAGTTGGGATTCTTTCTTCAACAGGAGATCCAAGACCTGCATATTTCAAAATAATTACAGCCTCACTGCATAAACAGTACACCAAAGTCCTCTAGGCCCACCTTCAGGCTCCCCCAGTGCGACCATCTTACACAACATAGTCAAAACAAAACTGATACAGAAAAACAAGCTTTTGCACACACTCATTCTTTTTCTGCTTATAATTTTGTACATAGCTCTGTGACATGTAACCACATTTGGAGGCTCATGTAATCACTGCCACAATCAACATTCAGAACTGCTCCATCATCACAGAGAATCTCCCCGAGCTGGCTCTTTACTCAAACCTCTTTTTTTCCCCCTAGCCACACCCCCACTGACCTGTTTGACATTTCTTGTTTTGCAATTTTCAGAATGCTGGGTACAGGGGCTCATTCAGTCTGTACCTTCTTGAAATTTTGTTTTTCATCCAATGTAGCAACTTGAGACCCACACACATTTGCTTCCTTCATCAACAGAGTGTACCTTGTGTTTGACCTGCACAATTTACAAGCAGAGATTAGCTACTGCTTAACACTTCATTTTGCAATTTGCAAATAAAATGTATAGCAATTTTGCACACATGACACTTTCATGAATATTTCATTTGGGGGGCTTGAGAACTATCTTTTAATCTGGTAGAAAATACAGTTGAGGTCTATATAAACTTTTAAGGGTACATCTTTAGCTTGTCCAACTGCTTCAAGTATTTTGTCTATAAATGACAAGCTGTGGCACTATATATGAACAAGGATTATATCAGAGATAAGTCAGTGATTGCAGACCTGTAGAAACTACACTAGGCTGTTTATTTTTTATCAAGTTCCAAATCTGATATATTTCAGTCTAAGATGTGCAGTAAAGAGGCTACATTTGCCTTGTGTGTTTGCATATTAAGCTCTGTGGGTTTCCTTCTGGTCTCCTTTTCAACTCTCATTGGTCTCTGTTCCAATTCTTATTATTTATTGAGACAGCACATATAACACAATAAAATTTAACTACAAATATACTTTTTCATAATATTGTGAAACAAAAGATTACTTGTTAAAACTTAAGTTTTTCTGTCCAGGAGAACTTGTTAGCCATTTATGCTAACATAAAGATTTCCCTTTAAAATTAGTATGAGTTGAGCCTCTTATTTATGAAAAAAGCAAAATAGCAAAATATAGAAGTCTTGATGGTAGGAAAGCATCTCCCACCATGGATAGGCAAAACACCGATGCCTCCCTGCACTTGAAACAGCCTCAACCACTGATTTAAGTGCACACATATACCACATACATGCTTGTACACACAAACATCTGGTGATATGCATAGATCAATATGTATGGACACAGGCAGACATCATTTTTTCTGGCTTTTTCCTCTGTACTTATTAACTCCAGCCCTGGGTCTATTTTGGGTAGATTATAGGCTAGTTACAGAGAGAAGACACACTTCTCGGGAATTTACTGGAAGGGAAGTCATTCCCCAAAAGCCCTTCCCATCTCCAGACAGGAAAAAGCCCAGTATGGACGTTTGGGGGATTACAGAATGATTGAACAGAGGGCAGGCAGCATATACCAAGAGTTTGTCTTCTTTGAAAATGTACCACATGATACGATGATTGTGTTGCTACACTTCCTTGAATCATATCTTTATTTATAAGTCAATAAAGGACAGAAAATGCTCCATATCAAAACAATATAGCATCAGCTCAATGTAGCATTTATTCTCCATAGATGAAGTCTCATATTACATAACATGAAGATTTCTTTGCATTGAGCTTTGATTTTCCACTTCAGGTGACACAGTCCATCTATTTTGTCATATGTTGACTGATAAATGCATGAGCACTATTGGTTCTAACTATTGCTATAAATATCTTGACTTGCCTTGAATTGTTTAATGATTTGGGAAAATGACATGTAGAAGTGTATGATCTATGGATAATGAGCTTCAAAACAGTATACAAATACTGCACGCACAAGGCACACCTCTTCATTCACACACATACATGCACACAGATATTGCTCATTGGGCAGAGGTTTCACCCTTACATAAGGATAAGAAATGTCATCAACAATTGCATTGTTAATAGACCTAGACTCTAGAGACTATGTGCTATTAACATCAGCCCATCCAAGTGCTAAGAGGACACAAAGCACAAGCCTGATTTTCAGTAGTTGATGTACTTTGCACAATAAACAGATAAGGGACAACACCTTGTTCAATAAGGCAATTTGCATAGTTCAGCTAATCTTGGTATAATACTTCAGTACAGTAAATGAAAAGCAAAAGCCTAACTACACTGATTGGTGAAAGTTCAGTGCATAACTGAGATGGGTCAAGGAACCAATGTGAACATACAGAAGAAACTTAAGGGAGGGACTGAGAGATGGCACAGTGGTGAAGAGAACTTACTGCAGAACTTGCAGAAGACCTGGGTTCAGTCTCCAGCAACCACAGCAGGTGACTCACAACTGCTTATAACTAGTTCCAGGACATCTGATACCCTCTTTTGACTTCATCAGATACCTGCACACACATGGTACACATAAACTCATTAAGATACACAGAGATACAAATAAGTTAAAATAAATTAATCTTTTTTTTTTTAAAGGAGAATGTTGTTACAGATCTTCTTTGACAGTTCCAAGGGGACAACAGTTATGGGGGATAAAATGCCTTAAGAATCTAAAAATTATTGTAATTTTTCTTTTGTCTAAACCAAGTTGACGAGGTGTGTGTGTGTGTGTGTGTGTGTGTGTGTGTGTGTGTGTGTGCGCGCGCGCGTGCATATGGGAATAATGTGATAGTATGCTGAAATCTTGATTTATCCTTTAGAGAGGATAAAGGCAAAAATCCTAGTAAATCTCTTATGAGAGCACTTATCTACTGAGTTCTTGAAAAGCAAACCTTGGTGTGACTTCATCCCCAGTTCAGCCATCTGGTATTCATACATAAGTGCAGAATTCTGGGTACCACAGAAACCCCGGCAGCAAATACTTACTTTTACCTAATCTGATATAACAAAACACCCTGGCCCTGATGTCACAAGATAACTTATCATCTCCTCTGTAAGCTGATATGAACACCAGCAGTTGTTGCCCTAAAAAAGTTGCAAGTTGCATTAGATACATTTGATGCTTTCAAAAAAAAAAAAAAAATCAATCTCATTGCACCTGAAGCCAAAAATATCATTCCTGAAATAAAGTGAAAATGATTCCCTCTGCTGATGATCTGATAAGAAGACAATTTAAACAACATCTATATCCAAAGGGGGGGAATCTGATGACCTCAGACTTGCCCTTGCTCATACCACAGAAATCACCAAATGAGAAATGTTGATGGCAGTCAAGAAGCCAGTCTATTAACTAACTTCTCCGCACCCTTAGACAGATAATGACACTGACATGGGATTTATGAACCATGGCCAGCAAGTGACATTAGGTCTGTAAACTTTCAGATTTTGCTTATATCCAAGCAGGCTCCAGGCCAGCCAGAGCTTACCTTGTTTCTTCAGGTGTGAGA